CAGAGGCGCGGGGAAACCGCCGCTGCTGCCGCTTCAGTCAAAGCCTCAGAAGCGCGGGAACCCGCCCGGTGCCCCTGGTCTGCTGGAGACGGTCTCCAGCAGACCAGGGGCACCGGAGCAGCTTACGAACGGGGCTTTCTCGCCCCGACTTCCGGGGCGAGAAAGCTCCGTTCGTAAGTGCGGATCCGACATAAGTCGGATCCGCGTAAGTCGGGGACTGCCTGTATACAGTCCTCTCCTCCCAACTTCTTCCCACACTCAGTCATCACCTATCCTTCACATTTCTTTTTGCATATGTATTTGCTGTATCCTCTCTCACTGTATTAAAAACCTAAAATAATAATTTATCTGCCACATGTCACTGCTCAGAAAGCCTGTGTGTTGATACATAATCTAGTCAAAGTGCAAAGTCAAACCTTGCCTCTGCTTTAGGAAAATAGGAAAGGTGGACTTGTGAAGTTCATGGCTGTTGAACTTATGCTTACCAGTTTCAAGGCTAACATCTGGAATGTTAGTCTAGTTCTGCTGTTAGGTTAGCAAGCACGCATCATAGTAACTTTGCACGGAGAGTTGTACATCTCACATTTGGTAGTTCTGTATTAGCTCACTAGGCCAGATTTACAAGAGAGCTTAGTTCCAATTTTTTTTTGAATCAAAACAAGGCCATGTTGCATTTGTTCCAAGAGCTTCTAGTTTATCTACATGGCAATTTACTGTGTAAAAAGTCAGGGTGTGGCTCTACTATGCACCTGCTTGCCATGCTACAACACCCCATGTGGACAGTGCTATACTACAATAAAGGCCTGGAGTGTGGCACAACTACTTGAAAGCATAATATGCCCAGCTGCACATCAGAAGTTCCAGTGTTCCTTAGCAGTGTCTGTGTGGGATGGTATACCACAGCAAAGTAGTAGATTGTAGATTCACAACCTGCCTTTGTAACCCACACACCTTGGCTACGTCTACACTGCTTCCCTCTTCCACAAGAGCCCATGCAAATTAAGTGCAGATTAGCATATTGCCATGCTTCATTTGCATAATTAATTAGGGGCTGTTTTTGCACAAGAAGTTTTTGTACAAAAAGGCTCCGTCTACACATTTTTTCAGGAAGAATGGCTCTTGCGCAAGAGAGAGTTTTTGCACAAAAAGGCTCTTGTGCAAAAACCTCTCGAGCAAAAAGGCTCCTAATTAATTATGCAAATGAAGCATGACAATATGCTAATCTGTGCTCCATTTACACAGGCTCTTGCAGAAGAGGGAAGGAGTGTAGACGTAGCCCTAGTGTGGCTCATCGTCCCATGTAATGGCACTTAGACCACTTACAGTGAGAAATAAAAACAAGTGAGCTCTATAGCCTAAGCTGAGTGCCAGCTGACTTCATAGTGCGAGCTATAGAGGCTCCTACACTATGCTCCAAAGGTCACAGGTTCAAATCCACCCCATAGTAGTTACACCGTGCTGCACAGTAGCTAGATATGTAGACAAGGCCTCAGTCTGTCAGGTGCTGAACTCTTTAGAATGTACATCACAATAACAGCTGTAAGTAGGGTTGCCAGGTGTCTGGTATTCACCCAGACAATCTGGTATTTTTGCCTCCTATCTGGTAAAAAAATTCAGAGAATACTGGACACCTGAGATGTCCGGTATTTTCTGAATTTTTCCCTGGAAAGGAGGCAAAGATGCCAGGCACCTGGCAACTCTACAAACACTCAGCACCTGGCCTCAACAGAATTTTTTCCCGGTGTTTTTTTTGGGGGGGGGAGGAGGGAGGTGTTCGGTATTTTTGTTTTAATCATCTGGCAATCCTAGCTGCAAGATACTCAGCGCTTTTGAAACTCTGCCCATTTCACTTGGGTTCCCAAATGGGAACAGAGCTCTTTAATAAAAAAAAAAAAAAAAAAAAGGCACATTTGTCAGTGTTGAACATTTTGAAATCTGGCCCTGGCTTCTTTTGCAAACTTGTCTCACAATGATGTAGGTTATTTTGTAAGAGAAGGAGAATTAAACATACCCGCAGGCCAAGCTCCACATTTTCCCCTCCATATATATGCATTCCGCCATCCAGTACCCCAATCTCTCCCAGAAACTCTCTATGTGCGGCAAGTATTCCCATAATAGATGGGCTCCTGGGAAAGAGAACAGATACAGTTGAAGAGAAAAAAAATAAACTATGAAATAAACAGGAAGAGGAATAAACAAACATTTGAAAATTAAATATGCTAATTTGCATTTGCTGTTGAGTATGAAACTGACTATTTGGACACTTCTTATTTTGTTTGTGCTAGTTTGGGGACCCTTAAAAAATTGTTTTTTTTTTACTTAGATTTGGGTTCTTCCCATCTCACTTTTTACCACTGCCGTCCTATATTTACAGTAGACAATTGCATAATGCTTAGAGTGCCAAATTCTGCCCAACCTTATCTATCTGGGCATTTACCCATTGCCAAAGTGTCTACGTGTGTAATCAATTTACTCAGAGTGGAGTTATGTTAGGATTAGTGCATCCTGTATTTGTATGCTGCTTTGTATAGAATTTGGATGGTAAATGCCTCATAACAGTTTATACAGTACTGCCTACTCTGTCCATCATGTACTACTTTAACTGTACTGTGAAGGACCTGAAGGATGCCTGTCATATCTCAGTTTCAATATGTAATGTTATGATATTGTTTGCTACCTGGCTATAAGGTGCTATGAGGTGTTAGATCCCAGGAAAGATTCAGATGAGTCCTTCAGCAAATGTCAAGGGCAACTGGATCTGCTGAGGAGTCAGCAGGAGTGCAGAGACCTGCAGGCTAGGACTCCTGTCAGAGTGGGAGAATTGTGAGATTCCACCCCAAGGAGGTGAAGGCACAAAGCCTGTCATTTGGAGAGATTGCACTCTAGCAGAGTTCGGGTAGGTCTATACCATGATTCAAATCTTGTGGCTGGCCTGTGCTGGCTGGCCCATTCCAGCTGATTCTGGCTAGAGGGCTCACGATAAGGGCCTATTTAATTGTGGTACACATTTTCAGACTCAGGCTGGACTCTGGGCTCTAGGACCTGATGAGGTGAGAGGGTCCAAGAGCTTAGAATGAGGCCCAAGCCCCATAAGCCTCATATTTACACTGCAGCTAAACAGCCCCTTAACTTAAGCCCCATAAGCTCAACTCAGCTGGCATGGGCCAGCCCTGGGTATCTGAGGGTACATCTAAACTACATGGCTCCATCGACGGAGCCATGTAGATTTGTTTGTTCGGCAAAGGGAAATGAAGCGGCGATTTAAATAATCACGGCTTCATTTAAATTTACATGGCTGCCGCGCTGAGCTGACAAACAGCTGATTAGCTGTTTGTCGGCTCAGTGCGCATCGACCTCCCCGGTAAACCTCATCCTACGAGGCATAACGGGGAGGTCGATAAAGGGCTTTCAGGTCAGCGCAGGAGCGTCTAGACTAGCGCACTGAGCCGACAAACAGCTGATCAGCTCTTTGTCGGCTCAGCGCGGCAGCCATGTAAATTTAAATGAAGCGACGATTATTTAAATTTATTTATTTATTTCCCTTTGCCAATCCGCCTAATCTACATGGCTCCATCAATGGATCCATGTTGTTTAGACACACCCTGACAGAAGAGTAGACATATCTTTAGAGAACAGTCAGAGGTACAGCTAACTCTCAACTGTGACCGCACATAAATATTATTACCCATTTACATAGAGGGCGAAACATGGACAGACAGATTAAATGATTAGCCCAAGATTGCAGTGGGAGAAAAGTTTAGGAGCAGAATTAGAATGCAGGAGAACCTGGATCCCGGTCTTCTACACAGACCACATGAGATCTCTAATGCTAGTACAGCACTCTCAGATCCAAACCAACAGTTTCAACTTATCTGCATTTTGCAGATACCTCACTGACACATGAGAAAACCCTGTCTTTGTGAGGTGAGCCTGAAAACAGCTCACATATGGATTTTTTGTTCCCCCAAGAATACCATTCAGACTTACCGGACTGGAGCAGTTTCATCTTTGAGCTCATACCACTCTTTAGGTAATGGTTCATAGAGGCACCATAGTGCCCAGTCAAATCCATCTGCAGCCACAGAATACTCAAGAAGCTTAAAGTCATCAAAGCGAATATTGTCAAACACTGGTGATATTATAACAGTGCGATCCTCTTTGATTCGAGACAGAATAGGCTCAGCCCTAAGATAAATGAACAAACGCATTATTTTCACCTTGCTGAGAGTATGAACCAAAGTGCAGGGCACCATAATGCTGACATGCGCAGCCCATTTCTTACAACTAAGACCAGAGATGTTTGAATTTTGGTTCCTGTCTCAGCAATGCCAGGTTTTATGTCCAACAGCTTTACGCTGTCTCCCAGGCTATGCCAGCAGTTCATGTGCTTTACCCACTGCTAATTACACTAGCCACGATCACCCCTCTGTTACCATGCCTGTCCCTTATACCCCCCTTTTGCCTCTCACCAAAGACTTGTATTGTAAACTATTGGGGTCAGGAGTCTTCTTTTCATAGTATGGGCACAGCACCTAGCACAATGGGCCCACTCAATGCTGATGCAATAAAAACAAACTAGAACAAATAGGCGTTGCCCCTGGTTGTGCTATCTGTGATGAACAAAGCCATCATGATCTGGGGCAGGTGGCATGGGTGTTGACTCCATGAGTGCCCCAACACTCGAGCACCCTTGGGAAAACAATTGAAAAATAGTTCTGAGCAGCCAGGAGCCAGATAATGAGGGTGAAATGTGATGAGTTCTGTGCTGCTTCCAGCTTCTGCCCTTGGGACAGGGAGTTTATTTATAAATAGAGGCAGGGTGAGTAAGATAAAAAAGGCTTATAATTAAATTAAGGCTCTGTAGATGCTTACATTTAAGGATTACATTTAAATTAAAGATCCTAAGTAAGACAGTTTCATCCAGAAAACCACAGTGAGACAAACTGGGGGCATTAGTGAAGACAGCTTGTGGGTGACTGCAATAATTTTCATATACTGTAATTAATGGTAATGTAATTGTGTAGTTCAAAGCAAATGAGCAATTATTAACATAAAGGTACTAATGACAGATTTAATAACCAGAATACGAAAGTGCATAAACACTCTGAAACTAGCCCTCCCCCACAAAACTGACAGCATGCCCCCCAAATGACATCGTTAAAAACAACCACCAGCAAAAATATAAGTCACTGCCTATAGTAGGTTGAGATTAGGGAGGCAATACAGTTTCAGAGGTGACACGCTACCTGCCAAGGAAGTGAGACAGTAAGGAAAGTGGTCAAGCACTGAAATTGACCAACCGGGGTAAAGGTATGTTAGGCTATGTCTACACAGCAGAGTTATTTGGGAATAACTGACGTTATTTTGAAATAACATAGTACGGTATGCATCTACTCTACAAGCCTATATTTTGAAATAATGGCAAGCTGGAGGAATTCTTACTCCAACTCCTGTAACCCTCATTATACGAGGAGTAACGGAAGTTGAAGGAAAAGCGTTCTTCCTTCCACTTGCTTTTGTGTAGACAGAATTAAAAGCCGAATTAAGCTATTTTGACTTCAGCTATGCAATTGATCTAGCTGAACTTGTGCAGCTTAATTCAAGTTTTGCCCTGCTGTGTAGACGTTCCCTTAGAGAGAGGTTGTAATGAATGGGAGGAACACTACCCTTTTATGGATATTCCAACCATTCAGTTAACTAAATTGCCTGTAAGGGTTAAAAATCTACAGACGGCAAGTCCAAGAGAGTATTCAGGAATACTGGGGAAGCAAGGACAGCCAACTAAAAGAGTGTGGATTTTATAATTGGAAGCAGGACCTTCCTGCTTCAGTTTTTGTGTGACCAAAGCAGATCTGAATAGAAATGAGGTAAGCCAGGAAAACAGGAATGGAATATTCAGCAACATCCCTGACTCAGGAAGGATTAAATCTCGAAACTACAGAGATGTGAGCAGAACAGAGAATGTTTAGTTAGATGCGATCAGGTTATTTTCTTTATTTTGGGGGTTGTTGGACTTCTTTGTGTTGAGCCCATGTTAATTCTCCCACCACCCTGTACACTGTGACTTTTAAACTGAATCCCAGGGAAGCAATTCTCTGTGCCCTTAATCTTATTTTTAGTTGCTTTGTAACATCAAGCATCCAAATAATGTTTTGCCAAGCATGTTTTCTTTGTTTTTGTTAATAAAATCACCTTTTAAAGACCATGATCTGATTCCTGTGTCTTAGATGGCAGGCGTTCTGTGTGCATGTGTCTAAGGGTGCGTCTACACTGCATCCTTAGCTTGAAATAAGATATGCAATTTGCACTAAGCAAATTGCATATCTTATTTCGATTTTTTTCAAAATATGCTATTTCGAAATATGGCATATTTATACAGTGCCAAATTTCAAAATAATACAGTATTTCGAGACATCTCTTATCCCTTGTGCAATGAGGTTTACAGGTATGGCGAAATGATGCATCCACTATATTTTGCAATGGCGGACATGTTCAAGAGACGGGGGAGGAGGGGTAGCGATTTTGGGATACCTCTGATATCCTGAAATAGCATTGCAGTGTAGCTGTACCCTAAGACAGCAAATTAAGCTGTTAAGGTTTCTTTTTCAATCTCTCTCTCTAGAGGGAGGATTAAAGAGTTTGAAGGTACCATACAGAAAGAAATTCCTAAATGCACCTTGCTGGGTCCTCAAAGGGGTTTAAAAACATAAGCCTTTAGTGGCAGGATATTTTAAAGTCTCTTGCGGGCCTGCACCTTCTGCACTTGAAGTGCCAGAGTGAGAAACAGCCTTGGCAGAGATGGTATAAAAATGGGAAGGTAAATATACTGATCTAAGATAGATTATAAGTGCTTGTTACCAGGGATCGTGTCTTGATTATCTCTGTAACAGGCCATGCACATCTAGATTTTTTTATACAATCATTCCTTCATAATAATAATTAACAATGCTCAATAGACAACAGGTACACATTTTTTTAGTTTAAATTCAGTTTAAAAGTCAACGCACTTTATTGTTCTTTAGGAATACCCAAAAAATGACTTTATTTTCTTTCAATGATGATCTGCATAAGTTCTGATTGGATCTTATTTTGCATACATAGGGACAAATATACATACAAAGAAGCTAGGAACTGCTTACCTGCTCTTCTTTAAACAACCTATTGTGTTATTTTACCAGCTTCACTCATTTGAAAGTGCCAGTTCTTTTTCAAACTGTGCTTCCCTTCTCCAAACAAAAGTAGACATCCAGCTACTGGCCTCAACTTGTCATATGCAACACCACGGCAGTGTTGAGTGAGGTAGAAGAAAAACCATGCATCTCAGCTCCACAGCTGGGGCCCATCTACAGAGCAACATTATTTCAAAATAATAATATTATTTTGAAATAACTGCCTGCTGTGTAGATGTGGACTAAGTTATTTCAAAAAAAATGTTGAAATGCTGGAGGACTTCTTACTCTGACTCCTGTAACCCTTATTGTACGAGGAGTAAGGGAAGTTAGAGGAAAAGTGCTGTCTCTTGAAATAAGTCTGTGTAGCTATAAGTCTGAAATAAGCTATTTCAAAATAAGCTACACAATTGATGTAGCTTATTTCGAGTTAAGCCCTGTTGTGTAGATGCACCCCTGGAGTCCTCCCTCCCAGAAAAGTAGTCCTTTGTGATCTTACCATCCAATATTCACTTCAATATGGGCATCCAAGATTGCGACAACATCGGCAGTGGATGCTTCCCAGCCTGAAATCCGAGCTTGTGTTAGGCCTTCTCTCTTCTTATGTCTCACAATTTTTAGCAGTCCAGGATGTTTTGCATTGAAATTTTTGATCTGTTCATCCAAATGTCCTTTTAGATCCTCTAAAAATAATATGGCATATTTCAGTTTTTTTAAAAGTTAATGGAAATTGTTGATATTGGGAAACAAAAAAGACTAATGAAATAACATCTTTTCCAGCTCCTCACAGCCTAAACATCAATACAAATTTCTTCCTTCAAAAATAGTGGCTAGAATTACTCCAAAGAACTCCACAAGAGGTACCCTATGTCAGGGTTAACAGTTCATCCAGTTTGTAGTGGACCTGATTTTTAAACCCAGTTCCTGTTTTGTGGTCCACAGTTTTGTGCCCAAACTTAATTGCACACACAATAATTATGGACACATATACCAGACCTTAGACCTCTAACTACCTGAGTGTGCCCAAAGAGCTGCTAATGAGATGTCTAACTGCTAGGAGTTGTGTCAACAACTAACGACACCTGCAAAAGAATGAATAAATATGGAAATGCTAAGCACAGTTTTATTTAATACTAGCAGACTTGATGGGTCCTTCAGGACAGGGGGCTAATGGTGTGGGAGCGGGGAAGGTGCAGGAGTCAGGGCAGGGCCTTGGGAATGTGGAGTGGAGAATGCTGGAGGCTAAAGGCATTGAGGTTACAAGAGTGATGGGTGAGGAGGGGCTCAGGGCAGGTGGTCCCATCCATCACAGGTATTTTCTCTCCCTGCAGCCTCCTTCCCTGGCCACCAGGAGTCTTTTTTTCTCCTTCTCTCCCCTCTCCCTCTCCCCTCCCTGCCCCCAGGTGCCCCTGGCCACCAGGGGCCTTCCCAGCCCCCGGCACCTCAGCCAAGGCATGAAAAGGAGGGGAAGAGTTTAGGGCAGTGGTGCTACTTACTAGTGAGCTAACAGGCAAGATGGCAGAGCCCCAGCATGGGCAGCTGGTAGCCCAGTAGCCGAGGCAGGGAAGGCACTGCCTTTCCAAACCTCCAGGCATGGCTCTGCCCATACTCTGCTCCCAGAACACCTGCTGTAGGCGTACTGAGGTGGAGTGTTGTTGCTCCTGAATGCCTGCCCTCCCTGTGCTCTGAGGCTGGAGCTGCGTGGCTTCCTCCCTACCTGCAGTGCCAAACTGGGGAGGCTTGTGCCACATGTCCTCCTCCCTCTCCAGTACTCCGGGGCTGGGGAGGCTCAACTGTGCGGCCTCCTCCCTCCCTGATGCTCTGGGGCTGCATCACACTGTTGACTCATATTTAGCTTGTGGTCCACTATGACCCCTGGATCCCTTTTTGCCATTCTCCTTCCTAGGCAATCCCTTCCCATTCTGTATGTGCGAAACTGATTGTTCCTTGCTAAGTGGAGCACTTTGCATTTGTCCTTATTAAACCTCATCCTATTTACCTCAGTCCATTTCTCCAGTTTATCCAGTTTTTTAATTATGATCCTGTCCTCCAAAGTACTTGCAACCTCTCCCAGCTTCGTATCATCTGCAAACTTAATAAACGTACTCTCAATGCCAATGTCTAAATCATTGATGAAGATATTGAACTGAACCAGTCGCAAAACAGACCATTGCGGAACCCCACTTGTTATGCCTTTCTTGCAGAATTGTGAACCATTAATAACTACTCTCTGAGAATGGTTATCCAGCCAGTTATGCATCCACCTTATAGTAGCCCCATATAAGTTGTATTTGCCTAGTTTATTGATAAGAATATCATGTGAGACTGTATCAAATGCTTTACTAAATATCACATAAGCCTCAGACACGTCCAAGGAGAGTGAAAGAGCAGTACTGCTAGAGCAGCATGATCAAAACCATGGAGACCAGTGGTTTGTATAGAATGAGCACTTACAAAGGCTGAGAATCAATATACCCAAATAGCGAAAGAGGCGTTGACTTTAATCCATAAGTGTGAAAGAGTTCATAGAACCATAGAAGATTAGGTTTGGCAGAGACTTCAGGAGGTCATCTAATCCAATCTCCTACCCAAAGTAGGACCAACCCCAATTAAGTCATCACAGCCAGGGATTTGTCAAGCCTGGCCTTAAAAACCTCTAGGGATGGAGATTCCACCATCTTTCTAGGTAACCCTTTCCTGTACTTCACCACCCTCCTAGTGAAATAGTTTTTCCTAATATCCAACCTAGACCTCACCCACTGTAACTTGAGACCATTGTTCCTTGTTCTGTCATCTGCCACCGAGGACAGTCCATCTCCATCCTCTTTGGAACCCTGCTTCAGGTAGTTAAAGACTGCTATCAAGTCCCCCTTCACTCTTCCCTTCTGCAGACTAAATAAGCCCCGTTTCCTCAGTTTCTCCTTATAAGTTATGTGCTCTAGCCCCCTAATCATTTTCATTGTCCTCTGCTGGACTCTCTGCAATTTGTCCAGATCTTTTCTGGAGACAGAGACAGTGAGGCTATGTCTACACTGGCACCCTTTTCCGGAAATGCTTAAAACGGAACAGTTTTCCATTATAAGTATTTCTGGAAAAAGCGTGTCTACATTGGCAGGATGCTTTTCCGGAAAAGCACTTTTTCCGGAAAAGCGTCCGTGCCAATGTAGATG